AAAAAAATACAAACACGACTTTTAAAATAAGATTTTGACCATGAATTTGATTCTGGGGTATTTACTATATACTATTGTAGATGAGAAGAACATTCCTTTTGTCATCAAAAGAAAAGTTGCTGATTTAATGCGTAGTTCGCAGGATTTATTAAAAATATTTTTTTCTTAATCATCCGATATATTTTATCATATACTCTCATACAAAATTTCTTATAGAATTTTTGAACTCTAGTTTACAATAAATCGATAATAAAATGTTTTTATTTTTATCAGCACAACAAATATATTTGTTTACTTTGTTTATAGTGCAAAATTAGTAATTCTAAATTAATTTAGGAATTTCCAAATTCTACATATTTTTTATTTAAAAAATATTAATTTATGTAAAAATTTAGAACGGTAATTTTTAAAATAAATATCAATTCAACGAAATAAATAATCAACTTTGTTTCTGCATATTTTTGTAATGCGATATATATATATATATATATATATATATAAATATTTATTATATATATATTGATGTGTATATGTATATGTATAACGTAACAATAATACAGCATCATTAATATGACATAAGATTACGCCTACGATGATTATTTTAATACTCATATTGTACAATGATGTCAGACACTGTTTTGAAATATTTAATGACTAACTTTTAATTTAGTCACTAACACACACACATATATATATATATATATATATATATATATATATATATTTGAACATGAATGAAATATTTAGTTAGAAATCTCATTCATATTTTTAGACTGAAATCTGTACTGTGTGCAATATAGATTATCTATGGTATTCTAATTATTTAAACTTTTTTTTTATTTTTCATATAATTATATCACATTTCAGTATCCAACATTTTTAGTTAAAATGGTTAAATGAAACGCCTGGAGTCATGTTTACCAAAAATTGATCAAACACAATTATCGGCTGATAAGTTTTCCAATAATAAACTTAACATTTTTAAATGAAATTGGGGTTTTTATAAAAGGAAAAGAAATGAAAAATTATGTCTTTTGCCAGCTCTTTCAATAGGGCTGATTTATATCTCGGTCTTTCAGATCTGTACAAATATGACAATTTTCATATCAGTTCAGCTCGATAAAAAATCATTGACTTATATAATTATATAAATCATATATTATGAGATTGATAAAAAATTAACGTCGGAGGAACTTACAATTTTGCAAAGATTGTCTGTAAGAACCGAAGACATACAATTTTTTTCTCTTTATTAAATTGAAGAACATTTTCCATCGAATTCCAATCGGTTTTATATTAATTGATTATTGATAACAAAGTGAAGTACAACCAGACATAAAACTTTTTATTGTTCTGATCTTGTAAAAATTTTTATATACAACATAAATCATTTTTTCCCAAGGCATTATTTATTAGTCGTCTATCCGCTAAAGACACATTAGCGACTTTTTGTACAAAAACCAAGGATGTGAAAGCTAGGTTTATGAGATTATAATTAAATTACCGTCGGGATCTAGTTATTAATTATTATATTAGTAATTGGCTGATCTGGACTGCTATTAGAAACTTGTTTTTATGCTACCGCAGTCAACGATGTCACATATGTAGTTCGTCATATTAGTGCAGTTTATCAGTTATGGTCAACTTGTTTCATTGAACAATTTTTACTAGAAAATAATTTTTTAATTCTATCATTTTTTCTTAAAATCCTTATTATATCTAATTTTAAAAATAAAGGGTCATGTCTGAACTTCTATTTTTCCAGAGACAAGATTTACAATTAGTCATTGTAATTGATAAAACTATAATTATAGTTGTTAGGCTTAATTAAAACATAACTAAAGAAATGTAAAAAGTTATAGAATTGCTCTAACAAACAACAGTCTTTTGAATGTGTTTTGCTTCAGATAAAATGTAGATTAATCTTATTATTTTCTGATTTTCACTAAAAGTGTGCTTCTAGTTTCTATTATTTGGCAATTGATATTCTTCGCTCTGCATTTGTTGATTTTATAAATATAGAATATGGTGAAATATTAAAAGTATTGCTTGTTAAAACGATTGATTACTATTAAATGGAAATCGTATTGAGGCCTTTATTTATGTTTCAATAAAATAAGTTTCTTGTGGAAAACTTTTACTGATTACTCTTTAATTATAATGATCAATTGGTAGGCATCGTATGTATTTAATCTTTGAAAACGTTATTGCAACATTGAGAATTAGTTGGAAGGAATTATTACTTCCTTGCCTATTATATTAAGCATATAATAATATCAAGGTCCTTTGGAAAAATTATGATTTAGTTAAGGTATACCAAATGTGTATCTAAAATAATACGACCTTCTTACCTTTCTGTTCTGAGAAGATTTGATCTATCGTTTTCTGTTAAAACATTGTTACATCAATATTTTGTGTTACTTCTAAAAAAATTGTAAGATATTTCAAGTATTGGTTTAGTGGAAGTTAAATCATTTTTTCATTTTTGTCCGCCAATATAAGTTATTCTATAATATGCAATTTTATTAAGAACTACCAAAATTGTTATTCTCAATATGTAAACACAATATATCAAATTGTAACCGTAAGAAAATAGATCAAAACGTAGTACTTATGATATTTTGACTAATTTCTAGTTCTATTTAAATTGGGCTATTTGAATCATGGTATTAACATAGTTGATTGCTTTTAGACCAATATATTTTGAATTTTTTTGAATCTATAAAAATAATTACATTTAGCAGAGAATGCTGACAAGTTGTTTATAATTGATTGTTTACAAATTAGTAGATACGCCCAGTGGCGTGTAGTGAGGAGCGTTTAATGTTTGCCGCAGGAATTTGTTTTGTGCTCGTTGTGATATCTTTAAATTGCTCTTTTTAGCAGTACCCCAAAGTTGTAATCCGTAGGTCCACACGGGTTTAATCACAGCCTTATATATAAGTAATTTCTTGTAAGTTGATAATTCTGATTTTAAGTTTAGGAGCCAATAATAATTTTTGAAGATTAGATCTATTTGTTGTTTTTTGTTCTTTATGTTATTTATATTTTGTAAATGGCTCCTTTAAAGAAAATATTGACTGCCGCTGTTACAGATTTTTCCGTGTTAGACCTAGGAAGAGAAATTTTTATTTTTTGCATAAATCACACGCATACATAGATTTGTTAAGAGGAGTTCCCTTTGGAGTTGCTTCATTTCGTAAGAAAGATATTTATTCCTGATGAATCCAGACTTGTATCAAGAAGCAGCGACGTCAGACTAATACGTTTTGAGTTAATTTAGTCTTAATGAAAGTAACTTAGTGGTGTAGCTTTGTGTGATCTCAGAAAATTGATAGAATTTTCTGATATGCTTATTAAACTAACATTTGGCATCATTACTGCTTGATATTAGGTTGTCTGAAACGCAGATTCAAACCGGGGACTCTGTGATTACATATAGATAGAAACAATTTAATGCACTAGATTTTATTAGAAAGTAATTAGAGACTCTCATCTATCTAAACAATGAAAAAAGAATCACAAACAAGAAAACGCTTTGTAAACAAATGTTGCTTTTATTGTTGAACAATACATGTAAATATTTATAAAGATATTAAATTAAGGTATTGTTTAAGAAACAATTCAGTGCTTTGTTGTTTTGAACACTTAATGGTATTATGTGAACCTGATACTATGTTTCCTTCAGGAATTTTTAACTTCCCGTAGGGCACGTTATAGTAATCGCAAAAAAATCGAAAATGAAAATTTTTGCATTTTTCGACGTTTCGAAGGTTTCTGAACATGTTGGCATACCTTAAAAAAAATGGATGTATGTGTGTGTGTGTATGTGTGTGTGTGTGTGTGTGCGTGTGTGTATGTATGTGCGGATACAAATTTTCGTCGACGATTGCGGGAACACGGATCAACCGATTTGAATAATTCAAAAAACATTCGATTCGTATTGATAAGGAGACGTGCTGATTAGTTTTTGGCGCAAGCAGGTCTAGCCGTTCCGAAGATACGGGGCAAAAAGTTCCGAAAACAGTAACTCAGTTTTTAAGAGAACGGAGCGTCCGATTTTAATAATCCAAAAAAGATTTTACTTGTATTGACAAGGTGAAGAACCGATCAAATTTTCATAAAGGCAGGTCTAGCGGTTTCGGAGATCTAATGAAAAAAGTAAAAAAAAAATGCAGTTTGGCGGTCAAAAATGATCATTAGACATATGCACATCAAATTATCAGATATTTTTTAGAGATTTTAACAATAAGTATAAATTTGGTTTACATTCCTATGGGTTTCGTACCATTGTTTATTCGTTAAACGGCGACGCGGCGCTTACGCGCTTTGATATTTTGTCTTTATGCAGATAATGCAGTACGATTGCTTTGAAAAAAAGTTTAGATCGTCCAAAATATGTCAAAATAAAGGAAAAATTCTTTTTTCAAAGAAAAATTAAAAAAAGTAATTTTTTGTACAATTTATAGTTTCTCAAAAATCTTACTTTTTCGAAGTAAAATTTTTTCAAAAATGTTAATTGTTTTTAAAAAAATAATAATTTTGGTACGGGAAGTTCCAGCAATTTGCCTTAAGGCACGATGCCTTAATTGCCTTAAGACAGAATTCCACTTACAGCTAGTTGAGATTGGATTGGGACTATGTTTTTATTATTATATTATCTAGAGCATATAGGTGGATAGAAACATTTAAATATCTAAAAGATATTCATTAATTTTGTAGCCTTTTATATATATATTACATTTAACCAGAATTACAGGCTTAATTTCACATCAAAATATTGCACAGAAGCAATGCTAAATTATTGGTTTTGGGTATGTTGATAGATTGATGGATACCTCGATAGATTGATTGTTACACAGATAAATAAATGCATAGATAGATGGATAAAAATATAATTAGTTATATAAATTTTGTTGCAACTAATGATGTTGTTAATGTAAATCCTGAAATTCGTTCATTACTATTATTAGAGTATATATAATTTTTTTCTATTTTAGATTTGATCGCCAGTTGGGACGGATTACGAATTCGGGCCGAAGCTTACATGGAGGCGCGAAAATTGAGAGGTGCCTTGTTACTTCTAAGGGCAGCCCTTCGAAGTTTAGGAAAACCTTCTTCGGAACCGGGAAATGAGGAGGAATTGTTAAATTCCATGGAAGAACTTAAGGTATTTTAGTAGTATGGAGTAGTATTTAATCTCTATTTCAAAATTAGCTAATTTTTCGTAAAAAAAATGTAATTTTTTAGTGTGGTTTTGTCGGCATTCTGAAAATATTTTTAATAATGCTTTTTTGGGTCATTTTATATAATGAGATTTATAGGAAAAAATTAATTATAGTCATATTCTTCATTGTGGCCTTAAATTTCAACGTTTTTGGTAAATTACCAAAATTAGAAACTATAATTTTTGGTGCATATTCTCTGATTATACATCATATAGAGTTATATATTGAATGATAAAATAGTTATAATATAATATTTGAGTCTAGTTTTCACGAAATATTTTGAAGGCATTTTTCACATATCATAAAAATTACTGATAAATCAGTTAACTCATAAAGTTTATTTTACCTGTAAAAAAATAGAAAAATTAAAAAAAATTGTTATCATTCATCACCTCTCCAGTAAAAATGTATCGTGACCAGAGAGGTAAAAAATAGTGGGCAAATATTCAAATCTTGTCTTTAGATGGACCGGAAAATATTAGTTTTCAAAATTATGGAAAATTTGAAAATTTCATGGGAGCACTGTTTTATATGGTTTATTACAAATAAAAAACATGTTTCCCATCTGATTTACACCTCTAATTTTATATTTACGTGAATTATACATAATTTTTAAATGAGGGCGAAATCGATGTTTTTTGTGGGCGACCAAGATTCGTTTCTTCAGTATTATCGAACTTGGGAAATACATGGTATTTATAACGGTCACGAAAAAAAATAACTTTAAATAATTAATTAGCACCAAAAATATGATTTAAGCTTTTTAAAAGTTATATGCTCGATCGTAATTTATTAATGAAATAAATGATAGCTCTTTGAAATAATTGATAGCTGATTATATTTTGCATACACTTTTTTTTTGTTTTTCAGTTATTTGTTTACTATCATTTTTATTTTAGTTGACTTGGCGGTTTTAGCTAAATCTTGGTATAATGCCGTTGATTATAATCAAAATTATTACAATTTTGGTGGCATTGGTTAATTTTTATGAGAAAACAGTATAGATAGCAATTTAAGTTTAGACGATTTTTTTACCAATATTTAGAATCATTTAACGTTTACTAAATGTCCTTTATCATATGACAATATTTAAATTGAAAGAATACAATATATGTATTAATTAAAAAAATGGGAAAGTCTGCAATTGCATGAAATCAACGATTTCGACTTGCATATGTTCACAAATTCCTTGAATTACTTCTTCCAACTAATGTGTGATCGTAAAAGTGAAACTATCAGTAAGATGTGAAATTTCACACGAAGTTATTAAATCAAATATTTATATCTATATGGTGATGAGAACGACCTAGTCGTTTAAAAAACTATAATTAAAGGCGTATTTAATAACTTATTGAACTTCTACTTGTGTTGCTATTTATTTATTAAAAAAATAACTCATCAAAAATAAGTTCCTATTGCAACTCAATTTATTTATTGAAGGCGAAACTATGCACATCTTATTTTCTTGGTTGTAATTAATATTGTGTAATGAGCGGTAGAGACAATTATATTTTATTCTTAGAAAAACGAATTTCGAAAATATACATTTTTCCGAAAAATGTCAATCGGGAATTTCACTGAAATTTTGTATGAACATCAGTTGAATTAATTTTTTTGTATTTAATAGTTAATTTGTTTTATCAGATGCTGCAAATTTTAAAGTTAATATTGGGTAATCACGAATAGAACTTTGATTCTAAATAGCAAATATCTTTTTTATTAATATCTGATGTTGATTTCAGACCTTACTTATTCAATGGATTTATAATTTCGGTTTATCCATTGAATAACCGAATAACAAATATTGTAAAAATTTGAAAACAAGTATTTAATGGCTTTGTGGCTTTTGTTGCTCACTATGTGTTGTTATTAATGTATTACAACACTGACTGATTCACAGACATATAGAAGTCGACGATAGGTTAATTTAAAAATAAACCCATTTAAATTAACTAATTTTATAGGTTTATTTTAAATTAACTTGTTTTGTAGGCGCCATCTCTTATTTTTGCCGTACACAGAAGACTTTATTCTAGTTTTACACCATAATTTTGCTTCGCCATGCTACTGCTCTGTAGATGGCAACAAATGTATGGAAGAGCACATCTGGAATTCATTTCTTTTATAATCGTATTATTTTCATACTTCTATTTTTTTTTGTAAAAAAAGTTGTCATATCGATTACTGCGTCTGCTTTTGCCATTATACTTGTAAATAATAGGTATTTGTATAAAAACTTTAAGGAAACTTACTTATAACTCTTAACATGACTCCGTTTTTCGGAAACCACGTATTCCGGTTGTAGTTAATAAAATTTAGTACTTTTGCGGAGCGAAACATACGAAACATTTTCACAGCGAGAAATTGAATTTATATTTAAACTAATTTATTCCATTACTATTCAATTTTCACACATTGTGAAAAAGCATCAACTAAAATTTTTCTCAACTTTCAGAAATAAAATATAAATGAATTTATTACATATGCTTTAGTTTAACCAGTCGTTAGCGTGAATTATAATATTTATGATAATCATTTATTTTATATTTATTTAAAGTTAGTAAAGTAAAAAACGGTTAATTCGTTATTTATTTTTATTTATTAACTATTAACTAATATCTAGTGACAGAGATTGATTTTGTAGTTAAAATATATATCAAAAAAGTATATGGGAATATAAATAATATATAAAAATTAGTGGTGGACGGCTTTGTGTTTTAAGGCAAATTTTCGGAACTTTCTGGACCATAAATTAAAGTTTTTAATAGAGATTTAATTTTTT